TGCTGCTGCTGCTGCTGCGCTGCTACCGCCACGTCTGCCGCTTTTGCACTTGCCAATGCTATGGTATCCGTGTTCTCGGAACATCTAAGCCTAAGCCGTCCAAGCAGTCGAACATGCAGGGTCACAGCTGTCCTTGCCAATGCTCTTGGTTCACAACGTGCTGTTCGTGGCCGCTCGCCGGAGGGATTGTCAAGTACACCCTAACCCGAACCCTGAGGGATGCAAACTTGCGATGATGTGATCTGAATACCTGCAATGTTTGAATGTCAAGCAGGGCAACGGTGTCCACATCATGAATCGAATCAGCAGTATGATGTATATTCAAGACAGTGTATGCATACGCTTATGACAAGAAGCGAAAGTATCTTGCTTAGAGTTGTGCATAATAACTGAGAGTATCCTCTTGTAGTCCCTGCACCATTATATTTACTGTTGTATATCTGAAAGCACGTGTTCTAAATGTAAAAACCCTTACGGTATAGTCGTCCTCTAAACCCTAAACCCCTGTCAGCTGAGGTCATTGAGGGGGCGGCGCTGCCTGGGCCTTCCTGGGATTACCCCTTCTCGCAGCTGTGGCCCGCAAGATGTGCAAGCCTTTGTGCCTGTGAACTGTGTTGGGGGTTTAGGGTATTTAGAGCGTTGGGGCGATTTAGAGTTTAGTGTTTGAGGTATAGGGTAGTTAGTGCGCTTGCTGAGAAGGCACCACGTAGGAGGCATAAAGCTCAGGTACATGATCTTCTTCTCGCTGTTGCTGGTGGCGCCTCGGAAGGCAACTTACTGCTACAATAACAACTACAACTACAAGTACAACAACAACAACAACAACTACTACTACTACCACTACTACTGCGAGTACTACGTCTCTTACGAAGTGTCTTGTGTACTTGCTGTTCTCTGAAGCTTCCCTTCCTCAAGATCCGCTCTAGGTGCTCTGGGCCTCCTGGCTGCTCTCCGCCACGATGCAGCTGCTGTTTCTGGGCCCAGCATCACGGCAAAGAAAGTTTGAGTCAGGTTTAGGGTTGAGGGATCAATCTCTGCGAGTTCCAAGAAGACCTGGAAGCCAGACTCTGATCGGGCTGACATCGCCTTGTGGACATCGCGGCTGGTAGGGCCTCAACCTCAAAACCGAGTATCGAAGCCTGCTACTTCCCAGTAACAAGAACCCCAAACTTTCGCGACCCTTCGCCAAGAGACTTTTCATTCTGCCAGGCACCAAAACAATCACTGGAGTCAGAGCAGCAACATCATGAGCAGGGCGAAGCCCCCTTAAGCCGCCAAACCCGGACCCCTAATTTCTGCAGCCACCTAACATGGAAGTCTGAGCTGTTACCCATGTTGTTGCTTAGGGCTCCTTACAATGTGGCTATGCTAAAACCCTGAACCTCTAAACCCTAAAGTGGCACCCCAAAGTCCAAATTTTCTATCAGGTCTACGAGCTGCTGAGGAGGTGGCTTTGAGTGTTGCTTGAAGCGGGCAGGACAGCGTGTGAGTTCGCAGTTCGTGGTTTTGGTTGGGGGCTTGCGGGTTTGAGGTTTCAGGTTTTGGGCTCGGGGCTTTCATTGAAGGGTGTGGACTCTGGGGTTTCGGATGTGGGGTGTGAGGTTGTAAGCCCATGCTAGCCCTAAGCTCCAATAAAACTTTCCTAAACCGCTGGATTGTCTTGCGGGCTTGGCGTGCAGGCTTTGGTCCAAGAACATCCCTTCAGAATAACAGCATAATGTACACCAACGCGCTATTCTGTTTCTCAGGCCCCTGCAATCTATCTTGAAGGTCCGAAAGCACTGATTCACAAATCCATTCTAACTCGTAGGCCCCTGTGTTTGAGACAAACCCTAAGCTCTAAACCGAATTCAGTGCAGAACTTGCTTTGGGTGCTTTTGGAGGCCGATGGCATGGGCCGATGAGTAGAAAGCTGCTGAGTCGGATGATGGGCGTGTGAGTACTATTAGGGTTCTACTGTACAAGAGTTTCAGGGTTCAGGTATTACTGCCGCGAGTGAGTCTTGCCATTGATTGTTGTTGCCATTGTGAGTGCCATATTTGTGTTTGCAGTTGCTTGTCAATTTACGATCACGGCAGGAGGGAACGTGCAAAGGTAACAAACCCCTCTGGCCAAGACTTTTAAGATTGGTTGGACTGTCACCAGTGCCATTTCCTGCATGCTGTCCAGGATATCCTCCCATCACAGACGGGTTTTCAGAGTCGCGTGCAAAGATCACGCGGAGATAGAGTCGCCCTGGACAAGTGTGCTGAGTGCGGCCAATGCTCGTGGAGTCTCCCCGTAGAGTTCATGATGGCCCATCGTGTTCGCTCAAGCTCGAAGCCTTATTCTGCCAGTCTCCACTCCCTATATGCCGCTGCCATTACAGTTGTACAACTGTGAAGGGCTCGAACAAGAAAAGCCATCACGAGGGTCATACGCCTGACTGGACAGCCGTGGGCTCGGGCTTGTTGTAATGTATCGGTCGGCCCTTTGTCTTCTGAGCGCGAGCTCGTTTGGACTTTTGGGCAGGCACTCTGCCTCTGAACGTGTTGTGCCTATCCCCGGGGGTGCCTCATCATGTTTTCATCGCATGCCATGCTCTCTGTGGGTATTAACACGCTCTTGCTCTCTAATACGGTGAAAACGCTAATCAGTGTGAGAGGTTCACTTGAACTCGCATGCTTTGCCCGGCTCAGTGCCAGATCATGTGGAACCGCTGGCACTGCCCTTGATGGCGTCGAGCCGGAAGAGCGAAACAGACCTTCAAGCCCTAAAGCCCCAAGTCCTACCAAATATGCTTGACATATAACCATCTTAATCAGGGGCACCTACCCCAAGAATAATATGACGGTCGTGATCATAGTAGTTAGTATAGTTTCAGCTTCAACCTCTGCCCTAAACCCCAACAGCACGCCAACCTTGCCAAGGAAACATGGAGGGCGTATGCTTGGGGAAGTGCCTTCCTGGGGGGGCACGCGACAGGCGACCGATAAACAGGCACCGGGTGCATTCTGCAGAAGTTATGTAGGGGTGACTCGGTTGGGAGTCATGAGTCAAGAACTGATTCGTTTAGGGTTTAGTTGTGGTTGATGGAAAGAATGTTTCTAGGTCATTCGACTCACCCTGCTCCGAATCCTCAGTTCTGTAGTCTTGGGAACGGCATACGGCATGGATCTCTCGCTGCATATGTTGCTGCAACCAAGCAGTACTTGTAGCTGGCGTCTTCCGAGCTCGCAGTCATCATGTATACCAGCTTTGCCGGAAGGAAATATGGAGCCGAAGCAGATGAAGAGATCGATCACCTTCGTGAGCAAGTCAGGTGCGAGCGAACTCGAGCTTAAATGCAGGGCTGTGTGGACAAACGTGGCCCTGGACAACTCTGTCAGTCCGTTTCGTGGGCGCAGTGATGTGTTGGGGGTTCGCACCCACTCAAGGACCAGAGCTATGTCTTGATGTAGCGTAGCATCCCGGTTGGTTGCTGCAGAGTGGATCCCTGATCGCCGTTAATGTGGTAAGGGCTGGTCTCGGCACAGAATTTGGGAGGCATGCAGCAACCGCAGCTGCAGCTGCCTATCCACCGCGTACTATAGCATGGAGACCTACGTAATTACCAGCATTATTCCGCAATGTTTCCGCTACAGTATACCCCAGAACCCTTTCCTAATTATCACGGCCCCTGTACTACACATCATCAACCCCTAAACCCAATCCCGCGGCCAGGGCTCTGACGGATGCAAACTTGGCTCTGCGGCGGGAGGTTGCGGTGCGCAGCCACTGCCTCCGGGTTCAGTTCAGGGTCATTCCAGGCTGAGCTGTTTCCTGAGTTCGGCTAGTTACACGAGCTGCAAATGACCAAAGTTCGGGTAATTTTGTCCAGTTGTGATCGGTTGAGGCTGCGGCTGGGTACAGCAGGGGGCAGTTGAATAGCAGGTTGGGAAATTCACAGTTCTATGACTTTCCGCGGCAGCAGCGCTTCAATTCGCACTCTGCAACAGATGTCGTGCACCACCCATTCGTTCAATCTGGTAAGTTACAAGCCATCCACGACGGAAATGTCGGCCCTGCTCCTCAATCCCCAGGCTTATGCTGGTGTCGTGTGACTAAGCAAAGCTTTCAGTGGGGCTGAAGGATCCCCAGGCCTTCATTGCAAGAATATTTGTGTGGGGGGGGATGTACTATACCACAAGTATATGGGCATTATAAGCGAATGTTACTGCTTTTTAAAGGGCTGTTACGTAGTACTGGCTCTGGCCCCACCTTTCAAGTTCGGTGCCGCGGGGTCCGAAGTAGCCATTGGCATGCAGTCTCTCGTAAAGGGCCTGTATATGTTTTAAAGGTCTAGCCCATGGGTTCTAATGACAGGAGAACTGTGCCTTTACAGGTAATGTGGAGCCATTGAAGGTACATCTGAGCAACCAGTCGGTGTAATCATGTTCATGTACGGACGGTAAGATGTCAGCATTATCTGTACCAGTGTTTTGCACCGGTGTGCCTCGTGCCGGATGGTCACACTGTTTCAGCGCTGAAGACCCTTATGGACACGGAATTTGGTAAGTCTCCTGACTGTGTGCCGCCATGGGCTGTGCCGGGACGGATGCGACCACAATCCTGCGAGCTTCGCTGATGGAAGCCACAACATGCCACAAGGCTAAAGCAGTTGATGCCAGGAGAGACTTTAAGGCTTGTTTCTTCAAAGACTGTGTTCGAGGGTTTTAGGGCACAGAGCTGTAAGTGTAACTTACAAATTTGATGTATGATACAGCAACCTTCGATGCAAAGCCGCGATGCTCCAGACAATATTTGGCTCTTATGCTGAAGCTTGGGACCTAGATTTTAATGATAGTGCCCACCAGACTCCAAGCACATGCCTGCGAGGTAGCATTGGACGTGCCTCAGAGCCCGCTTGCAGCCGAGGTGATGCTCCATGCAACGGCTGGGCAAAGGCCCGGTAATATCGTGGTATATGATGTCCTTAAGTACATGGCTTGTAAGTAATTGTTGGTAAACAATACGTCAATATTCGTGAATCACATACAGCCAACACAATACACAGTCTGCCGGCCAGGAAGCCACGGATGCCTATACTGCTTGCCTAGCCTTGCGCAGCCTGCAGCGGCAATCGGCATGGCAGGAGCAAGCAATAGCGCTGAGGGTTGAGGGTTGGGGGTTGGATATTACGAAAAACCGTATCACCACGAACAGCGTTAAATCACAATCGACCGACAATGAAGCTGCGAAGCTGCCGTCAACACATTTTGTTGTTAATCACTTTGCTTGTGGCTAGTCAAGTATAGTTGAATATGACCCCAAGGCCCTATTCTGCTAATTCAGGCCCCTACACAATATGGCCCCTATGGACATGCAGACGTACATACATGCATGCACACCTACACACATGATTATGCCAAGGTGTGCATACTCTTTGTCTTATGTTGTGTCGGTAGTAATGTGATACTGAGAGAAGTAAGTTTCATCAAGCAGATTGCGGGTTCAACTCTCACTCGTCTTGTCCGGCCTTGCCACCCCGAAGAGGAGGCAATGTCGCTTTTTACAGCGATTGATCGGCGGTCCGTGGAGATAAATGAGTATGTCTGCACTGCAGCCGTTACATCTTGTGGGCAACCTGGCCTGTCGGAAGTGACATAGTTTCAGGTTTCTGGTGAGTTGTTTCAGAACGTTCCTTTCTGTCAGACGTAGTTTGCAGGCCTTCCAATTGGGTGCGCGCGTGTCGCTTGCCAATGTGGTGTTGATTTGAGTGTTGGTTTTGAGTTAGCTCGATGATCTATGCACAATCCGCACGGGACAGGCGCTTTTCTTGTGGATGTGAACACTGCTCGAATATGACGTCGCTGCGAATTGGATATCAATACCCGCACGGGACCACTGACGGCAAATGTTGGGCATGAAACCAGTCATTGCTACCCTCAGGACAAGTACTGTAGTACTGGATGTGAGATGAAGCACGAAGTACCCTTCAGCACAACAATAATACTAATACTAATACCAACAAGAATCATCGTCATCATCGCCATCATCATCATCTTCATCACCATCACCATCATCTTCATCAACATCACCATCATCGTCATGATCATCACCACCACCATCAGAAGCAGTAACATCATCACCATCCGCATCATCATCGTCATCATCATCAACAACATCAAGATCACCATCATCATCAGCAACAGCATCACCATGAATGTAAACATGAACATTGAAGTGAACATGAGTGTGAACGTGGTCATCATCATCATGAGCATCATGATCAACATCATCATCATCATGATGATCATCACCATCCGTTGCGGCATCGGCATCATAGTCATGGTCATCGTGTTCAATATCTTCGACACGGTGCCTCCGCAACAACTGTTTCCCGATTCGAAACTGTGTAGAGGAAGCCCAGCGTTTCTGGAGCGCACAGTTTACCGGAACTCTTTACCAGACAGGTGAACAAGAATAGCGAGGCGCTCCGCACGCGATTCGAGTTTACGAGCACTAGGCTACAGCTCAGGAAAGGGCTTCAGTGGGCCTTGGCCGAGCAGATCCTTACCTCACTGCCTCAACGACGCCTCGAGCCTTGCCTGTATTTAGTGAGCTCCTAGGAGTGTGGCGGCTATGACTACTACCATCGTTATCAACATGTAGTGAATGTAGTGGTGGTGATGGTGGTGCTGCTGCTGGTAGTTGCGAAGGTGGTGGTGGTGCTGCTGCTGCTTCTGGTAGTTGCGAAGGTGGTGGTGGTAGCGACGGCGGCGGTGGTGGTCGTCCTCGTCCTGGTCTTGTCGTCGTCAAGGTGTCGGGGTGTCGGGGTGCATGATTCCAGGCAAGGTCCATCTGAAAGCCCGAATGCTGTGGAAGACGGCATGATGGCGGGATGGTTCAAAGCTGAATCATAATCATGTTTCACTGCTCGGGCGTCTGACGTGCAGACTCCCCACCCCCCGAAGCAGCCCGCACTTCAACGGTTTCTATGAGGATTAATTACTGTTCGGGTTTCGATAAGGGGTTGCCATGCAGGCTGCTATAGACGCTTTTGCAAGGGTAATTTGCAGAAGGTCGGCGATGTACCTTCTTTTGACAACACTCCCTGGATGTTCAACCGGAGGCCTATGCCCCAAAACTAAAACCCCCAACCCTAAACCCACAATCCTAACCCCCGAACTACTGAAACCTAAACCTTTGCCCTATACCTTCACCTTTAACCGAAGGACACAAAGCCAAAACACCCTTACACCCTAACCCTTCATTCCTCAACCTTAAAACCTAAACCTTGAACCCTAAGCCTTAAGCCCTTGACTCTTGAACGATCAACCCTAAACCTTCACGAGTGAGCCTTAAACCCTAAACTCCCGAGGTTCCAGACTGCGTTCTCCACAGCGCTGCCATGGCTGCTGGGGCTCCGTGGCCTAGGGCTGCGAGGCTGCTGCAGGCGACACAGACCGCACAGGCCATTAGGGTTTCGGGTTTAGGGATTAAGGTTGAGGGTTTGGGGTTCAGAGGATCTGGGTGGTTGGGGCTTAGGACTAGGAGTGTATACCGGCAAGTGTGCAAGGGCTATGATCCTCAAAGTATCAAGGTTCCCCAAGAAATACGACATATATCACCATAACCTACTATATTCTTTAAAGAATTTATTATACTCTAAAAGAATATGAAATAGTCGAAACGAGTATGCTATAATGGAAGGGAATACAAATCCGAAATATACTAGCAGGAGCTCCTGAGCTTCGGAAAGCCATGTTGTTGCGCAGGTGCAGAATGACGTGGTGACTTGGAGTGCGGCAATCGCTTCTGCTGAGAAGGGGCTACTCGGACCTTAAATGAATGCTTCTAGGGTTCAGGAACAGTATTGCAAATCCTTAAGCCTGAACAACCTTAATCCCTGAACTTAAAGGCTTGCTTCGGATTGCGAATCAGGCACATCAGTGAGACGGGTCATCGTAACGCAATCAACTGTAGTCATGGTCAGACTGTGAAGTGACAAGGCCCACTACTGTAGGAGCAACCACAGCGAACGAGCAATGATGATGATGATGATGATTTTGGTTGTCATTCCTTTCCCTGTAAGAATATCACCACAAGAGGGTGGTTGTGCACTCTTCTCATCGGCAGACATGCTGAACCTGCAATGGAGTGGACTGCAAAGCTTGGGAAGTCATACTCCCCGATACCCTAACCTCCCTGAGCCCTTGAATTGAACCCTAAGCCCTAAACCTAAGCCTGAAGCCCGAAGCTTCATGCCCCAAACCTTGCTCAGAAGGAGCTGCGAATTGTAGTACACTGTATAATTTATTTGCCTGTATTTGTTTTGGATTTGCCCTTATTTGTCCGGATTTTTGTCTTTATTTGTCCGGATTTGCTTTTATTTGTCCGGATTTGCCTTTATTTGTCCGGATTTGCCTTTATTTGTCCGGATTTGTTTGTACTTGTCCGGATTTGTCTGTATTTGTCCGGATTTGTTTGTATTTGTCCGGATTTGTCTGTATTTGCCCGGATTTGTTGCTATTTGTCCGGAATTGTCTTTATTTGTCCGGAATTGTCTTCATTTGTCATGTCTGCCGAACAAGCCTTGATAAATTAAGCCCTGATATTCTGGAGTGCTTGCTCGTCTCAATGATTGTATTCATGTATACAGATAGTTTAACATATGGTGAAGCGTCTACTAAATTGGCATAACAGAATGTGATATTATATAAGAACAAGAACTATTAGTGTTTTGTGTACTATACTGTATTATCATATGGTATAGCATATCAGCCTAAAACATAGTACAGTGTAATATATTGCAATAGCATGTAATACAACATCATGTTACAATGTAATAGAAAACAGTATAATATTATATGGGACAGTGTAAGATAATATAAGGCAGAATAGCATGACACATATTCTCATATATTATACTAGACGGTAATATACTTTAACATAATGCGCCATACTTTACCATACTATACTATGCTATACTATGCTATACTATATGCTATGCTATAATATAATATAGTATTGAATAACAAAACATAATATAACATACATATAGCATGGTAAAATAACATGTACCCTGCCACACTATACTAAACTTTTCTGCCCTTTTCTATGCTATACTATACGTTACCACTTCATAATGTGACATAACAATACAGATGGTGAGTTTTGTATATTTAACATGACACAGTATAGTAGAATATAGCATCGCAGGATATATCACAATACAGCATCATGTAAGGTAGTACAGTAAACCAAAACAGCTTGTGCCATGTTGGAGTAACATAGCATAGCATAACATACTGTAGTGTAAGAGTAAAATACCATATCATATCGTAGATCCCACATCATATCATACCAGATCTTCATATGCCATGTCACAATAATATATCATATCCAGTATATTTTGTATTTCCGTCATATTTTTTATCATGCCGCGCTAATATATACTATAATACAATATACTACATCTCGTTATAGTATCTTTTTTTCGTGTTATATATTTCGTTAAGATTGTATAATATTAGTCTCTGTTGGCAAATATATATATATATATATATATACCATGTTGCATTATCCTATACTATGTTACAGTATGATATAGCATATTTTGTTAACGTATATATTCGTTTGCTATATTATGCTATGTTATACTATGCGATGTTTTTAATTATGCTACATCATACCATATTATGTTATGTTATATGTTCTTCTGTCGTATAACTTCATATTTCATTACAGTACATCACATTTCAATACTGCAGTACACTATAGTATTATATGTTCAGAGTATCTTACGTTACACACAGCCTAAGTAAGACCCAGGAGCTGGACGACGTCTTTGCGGTATCTCTCCGCCATGGAGGCCTCTCAGGGCGACTTTTGGGGGTCTGAAGAAGTAATGTTGAATAGAATAGAATAGAACACACTGAGCTACAACAATGTGCTGCAGTATAGCATAGTACAATAGAATACAAGGCAATATAACATAAGATCAAGAAATACATATGTCATCCCTTAGGGTTCTTTCTTGTACTTATACTACAAAGGAGCCCAAAATCCTGCCTTTTTTGATCATGCCCCCTACATTTCAAGCAGCATCCCTTTACAGTTTTGGTACTATAAGACTTCCCCGCACAAAAGCGCATGTTTATATTGATTCCAAGATTTCTCTTCCTTGGAGGTCGGGGTCCGCCCAAACGGTTTAGGGTGTAGGGTTTAGGGTGTAGGGTCAGTCTTCTTTTCATGTTTCCTGCCCAGCCCAAAGCTATTGCTACCCTAGACCCTGGACCCCAAAGCCTGCTCGACAAACCCTACTGTCGCGAACCCGTAGTTCCCAAATTGTCAACCTTCAGGACCCTTTACCCTTAGCACTAATACCACAATATCAGAATGCGAAAATACTATAACACTATAGTATATGATACACTATACTACCATACCGAAATACTACAAAATTGCCAAAGCTAAAGCCCTCCACGTCGGAATTGAACCTACCTTCCCAGGCCAAGGGGGTGCAACCGAACGTGGTGAGTTTCGGTGCCTGCATTAGCGCACTCCGAGAGGACCGGGGGAGCTCTTAGTGACTTCGTGGGTTTAGGGTTCAGAGGTTTGGGTTTCGAGATCGGCTCCTTTAGTCCGGGGTCCTTTGCAATACTGGAAAGGATCCTACTTCGTCAGGATGTATTTTCGGGTCCTTTGTTTTACATAACCTCCAGCTGCTAAGCAGATCTACAAAGCCATGGCTTTTCAAGCACCACTTCCGCACGACGGTGTAAGTTCTTGTATTCTGTCCATCGTGAAGAATTTCGTTGTATCCGCAGTCATCACAGGTCGCCTCGTACGGCTCCTGATGCTGAACATGGTAGGAAATCCCCCTCGATCCGGACGGCCGGGGTCTCTTTGGCCTTGCTTGCAAGGCCTAAACCCTTTTCACACGAAAGTTGGGCAGGAGATGGGAGTGTGGCAGCAGGCTATCTCCTTGTTGGAGGCAACGCCAGCAGTCAACGAGCTGCCTCGGCTGCAAAGCTTCAGACAGAAGGTCACGGTTCCAGTTTGCGGCGGTCTTGTTATTGGTTCCTTATTCTAATCATACTGTCGTGTTTCGCAAGATCCTAAATCCTAAGCCCCTACACCCTAAACCCCTAAAGCCCTACACCCCTAAACCATAAACCCTACACCCCTAAACCTTACATCCCAAATAAACCAGTACGGTTTCGGCTTCCTCGAGACCGACTGGATCTGACTCGTTGCCCGAAACCTTACAAAAACAATCGATTTAGGGGTTTAGGGTATTCCGGTTCCTCTAGACGGCCCGAAACCTTAAGCACCTGCACCCTAAGACCCTAAACCGCTCAGTGCCTGCGGCGCTGAGGATTTCAGTGAATGCTGCCATTGCTGCATGCGCCCGTTCCGGGGAGAGCCGTGGCAGTATTATTAGTGTATATAATGGTTGGCACGGAGTCCGACGTTTAAGACTCGAGTCCTGTTTTGGCTCAGGTGGGTGGCTGCACTTTGCTTGCTCAACTCTTTGAGCGACTGCTTTCTCCGTGCCGACGCAGTGAGCTTCAGTTCCTCGGTTAAGGACCTTTAGGAATTTAGTGAATTTACACTGGACCGGCAACCCGAAATCCTAAACCCCTAAACCCTAACTTAACATTAGGGGATGGTCAAGGATTTGGGATCCAAAGCCTTCACTGGGTTGGGGCGTTGTAGCTCAAAGGATCCATTTCTGGCAAGGCCCTGCAAGTCCTAAACCTCTGCAGCCTAGACCCTACCTGAAGCCATCTTGAAGCAAACCCCCCCGCACCTCAAATATAACGTATAGTTATATAATATCAAAAAGCTATTATCCACTGTGTTATATTGCATTGTAGAATATAATTAGATAAATGTGTGTGTATATATATAAAAATATTATATCCTGGAAGGCTCTGCCGTCAGTGCCTGCGAGAACTGCAGCCGCTGGCAGGAAGCCCTGGCGGTGCTTTGCCGGAGTTTCTCTTGCCATGCGTTTGAGGTTGGTTGGGGTCGGTTCCACATTACATGGGTAGTTCTCTAAATTAAGGTCCCTGGTTAGAGTCCTTTTACCAGGGTGCGATGCTATCTTGGGGAACTACAAACGGACCCTGCTTTAGAGAACTACCCGCACCAAGCCTCCGAAGCACGAAAGCACAGCAGACTAAGGAAGATTCACCTGAATATCTCGAAGGGTTCACCCCATTTCTGCAGCCCTGACCGAGGAAGAGCCGGAGGCTGTACCTTTGTTGTAGTTTCTTGCGTTGGAACCGAACTCGTTGTTGATAGGAGTTGATGAAGCAGGATGGCTGGCCATCGCTGATCAGCACCTCCAGACCAACACGTAAGCATACAAGAAGTCAAGAGCTTCAGGTATTGAAGAGGATGCAGTCGCTCCGATACCACGAAGACGCCTTCACCTACGGGGCGGCAATGAGCGCCTGCGCCTTCTGCCTGAAAAGATTCTGCTAGCATGATTCGATGCTGGTCCATGTTCCGGTGGGCATCGTAGAGTTCGAGTTGGGCATCATGATTCGAGCAACAGCAAGACCAGCCACAATCATGAGCGAACAAGCCATAATTAGCAGCAGCAGTCGTCGTCATCATCGCAGCCGCAGAGCAGCAGTAGTAGTCCTCAGTGGCAGGAACGCAACATTCGCAAAATCAATAAAGGGCTGTCCGAATTGCTGTCTTTGAAGTCGAAGTATCAGTCTGTGCCGCTGTCGTAGTCGTAGTGTCAATGATGGCCAAAACCAGAGTAGCGACTCCTTCCATTTGTTGTAATTTGTCTGTGGCCGAAGCAGCCTGCACGCAAAAGGAAAAGGCCGGCAAGTGGGAGGAGGCCCTGTTCCTGATTGCGGCCATGTGCCCTGGCCCTGCCTGGGATGCAGCCACAATCGTTCTGGGTTGATCGTGCTTCGCGAGACAACCCCGGCCCACTGCCATCTTGGAGTAACCCTCCTGAATTTGCATGTTATTGTCGGGGAAGGGGTATGGTTTCAGGGGACTTGTCTCCAAAGCACGACTCCTAGCTGCATCAAAGTAGATTCGATTATGCTGCCTTTTGAAACCCTCACCTGTACCTACATGCCTACTAGATCACCCATGCTCGCCCCTGAGATATGCCCATGTCGTGTTGGTGTGCTAGTGTCCTACTTGTTCGCCTACTGTGTTGGGAGCCAGCTTTGTTGTCCGGTTCAAGTGCATGCATGCATACATTCATTCAGACCTACATATGTATATATATATATATACACATATAGAGACACTTGAACATACATACATATACATATAGATAAGTATATGCATATGTATATGTATATAAACATGCATATATATATATATAGAGAGAGAGAGAGAAAGCGACACATAAACATACGTACATATACATGTGTATATGTATATGTACACACGCACGTGATTGCCTTCTTGTGATGTTACCCTATGTTTGCATACATGCTCTCTGACTCTCTCTCTCTCTCTCTCGCTCCCTCTCTTAGCTCTCTCGCTTTCTTTTCCTTCCTCCCTCTCTCTCTCACAGCAGAGCGCTTGACATAATCGCACGGAGGTGATTTCAGATGCGGCTTCTGTGAAGCAGGGCTTTGCACTGAGGCTGTCTTGCAAACCTCCGTCGGGATCTGTATCCATCTTAGGACCCCCCCATCCCCCCGCAGGCGCCTTCATCGTTTGGAAGTCGACACTGTTTGTGCGGGTGCGGCACTTAGTGCCTGCGAGCCACCTGGCAGCTCCCTTGGTTCGAGGTTTCGTCTTGTGGTGAAAATTGGTGAGAAGATAGTTATAAGTGGAGTTATAAGTAGGGTAACTTTAGAGCTATAACATATTATAACCCATGTTCGTGGACTTATGAGGTTTGGGGGCGTTGCATGTAGTGGTTTGGAAACTTCGGGCCGGCGGCTTATGCAATTGCTGTCACATGGACTACATGTCCTTCGCCTTTTGCAGAAAACGTCTCAGATGTTTAATGCTTCACCCAAAAGGATCCTAGGTACTATTACCATGTTTGGCCGGGGGATGCTTCCCCACATCATGACAGTAATTTCTAGTATAGAAACCGTGAATTCCATTATTTTGGTACTTAGGACTTAGGACCCTTTGCATCAAGAGCAGCAGAGGAAGCTGGGTTCTTGTTAAGGGATTTAATTTAAGTTACCATAATAAGGAAACCATATTATTTACTATAGATCCCTATTATGGTAACTTAAATTAAATCCCTTAACAAGAACCCAGGAAGGGTCAGCAGCGTTCAGCGGCCCTGCGCCTTTTCCGATCCTTGCGAATGAGCGGGTGCCAGCTTGATGCGACTCTTGGTGATGGTTCTTGCTTTTTTATCAAAACTACTGCTTCCCATCGCTTAAGCCTAAACTCTAGATCATAGTGTTGTCAGACGGTTTGGGGTTTGAGAGCAATATCATCTAGAATGCCGGAGCATCACTGAAAATTATGGTTGACTGACATACTAGCAACAATAGAAAAGACCACGTACCACAGCAAGAAGAGCAGACATATCGCGAACAGTGCTATCACCATGGTCTATGATCCAGGTCTCCAATCCAATTGCTCATGACATGGCTGTGATGTGTGTTTAAGTTCGCATAGTACACCTTATACTTCTCTGTAGTTCTAAATGTCCTATCTCATTGTCGCCCCTAGGCGAAGATAATGGTTCGCAACTTTCCCGCTGTATCCGTGTTGGAGTCATGGCGAACACTAAACGCAGCTTACGGAGCGCCTGATGCATAGTGTATTTGGTGTATTTGGTGGGTTTTCCATGTGGGAGTGTCCGAAAATTAGGGGTACCTTAGTTTGGGGTGCTTATAGTAAGGATCCTACTATTTAGGCTGCTATATTAGGGTCCCCTATTTTCGGCAACCCCCATGTATGGTAAGGGCAAGGGTCACATGAATGCATCCTCTGAGCTGCGAGGATTGCTTTCCATGCGCCTCGGCATTCGTGCTGTTCTTGCGATTGGGAGGAGCATCGGGGATCATCATGCCTCCTTATCTCAAACTCACCAATGAATGGGGATGTGTGCTGCAGGATTGTCCTGGACATTGCACTTGTAACAGCCTCATGCCGAGAAGCCCGCATTCACAGCCTGCCGAGGCCACAATCAGCGCCTGTGTGACCCGGCCCGATGTGTATATATATATATATATGTGTCTTTCTGTGTGTGTCTATGCTCTATGTAGCAATATGTAGCAATCGTCGGTTAAATATGTTTTCATGCGTACGTGCACACATGCACAGGTCTGTTGTACTTGTTAAGACTCACTCCAACCCCCATGCACACACACACACACAAATTCGTTATGTATACTTATTATAGAGGTATGTTTTGCTTTACCCTATATGTGCAATATATATATATATATATTATATGTATATGTCTACTTGTGTAGGATATTTATGCAACATACGCTTCGCCCTCCATACTGTCCCCTCGTTCGACATTGAAGCTTGTGAAGGCTGGGCTTCGACTTTTCATCTGTCCAGGCTTCTGTGTCAGGAGAAAACATGGCACCTCCACATGAATGTTCAACCGTAATTTCATTACAAGGCTAGGTCGGGAAGGTTTCAATAGTTCGTGTTTAAGGGCCTTTCTGGGTCTGCCAGAACAGGCAAGAGGATTAGCTGCCGGGTAGCATTGGGCACGGTAAATCCGAACACGATTATCGCATCAAAACTTATCCCATGGTGCCTGACCAGCAATCGCTCAAGGAAAAGGCTGCTGACTGGCTCTGGGCCCTGGAGCTTCTCTCCGAGCGAGACAGGCTGGCTCCGATGCTGCCTTTAAACCATGTTGAAGATGAGCAGGGATAGTCAGGACTAGTTAACGGCCGTAGAATAAAGAGCACTGGTCTGCGCGATGACAGCACCAGAAACAATCGTTAATGGTCACATCCAGAACACAACAAGAAGTCGGCGGATACTTGAAATAATACCAACAGCAATTTCAGATCCGCAACAGACTAGCAACAACATGTTCAATATGTTTGTTGCTGTAATTTCTCTACTGACTCTACTCACTCGCTATCCCAATGACAGAAGCGAGCTCAGTGTAAACATGACACCACTGCCATTACGGCTGCTGCTGCTGCTGCTGCTGCTGCTGCTGCTGCTGCTGCTGCTGCTGCTGCTGCTGCTACTGCTATCACTACTGCTACCGCGACTACTACTACTACTACTACTACTACTTCTACTTCTACTTCTGCTTCTACTTCTACTTCTACTACTACTACTACTACTACTACTACGACGACAAGGACGACTATTACCAGCATTTGTATTAGTCCTAGTACTAGTACTAGTACTAGTACTAGGCTACTACTACTGTCACTGCTGCTGCTACTGCTACTGCTACTGCTACTGTTACTGCTACTGCTACTCCTACTACTACTACTACTACCACCACCACCACCACTACGACGACGACGACGACTACTACTACTACTACCTCTTCTGTGACGACGACTACGACTGCGACTACGACTGCGGCTGCGACCACGACGACGACGACTTTACTACTATTTCTGCTACCTCTGTCATCACTACTCCTGCTCAGCAACTCCCGGCACTATTGCCTTCAGTGTCATTACTGTGGTGCTTGGTAGTATTAGTGCCATTCCCATGGCCCATGGACCTGCACAGATTCTCGTGTTGTGCGTGTGAGGTGCAATCTGCGTGAAGAGACGCGCAGAGATGCCCAGAGGCTGGACGCGCATCGAGGAAGTCATCGGCACTTGTCGTGTACAGTACTGAATTAATGCATAATCATGACAGTGTCGTTCAGATTCGATGTCACGGGGCGGTGAGTGATCGCAACGTCCCAAAGACTTCCACATCGAAGTGCAAAGGGTAAGGCTCAAACTCTGACTTTCGCGGAACTTGCTTCGAAGTGCAAAGGGTAAGGCTCAAACTCTGACTTTCGCGGAACTTGCCACATCTCAGCTTTACAGAAGCTCTCTGCAGCCTTCATGTGCTTCCTTCGGCTTTGCCGCAATCCCACTCGGAAGCTTGTGAGAAGAAATCCCGCTGCGAAGGGCTCTCTGCTTGTGCATAGGCGCGGCCCAGTTGGCCTCAGTGCGGCGGTGAGTGCGTGTGAGCATCTCGGCACGACAAAATCTTCCAATATAACAACAATAATCTAATAACAGGAATATGACTGATGGTAACAGAAATAGTGATTATAGATTTGTGAGAAGAGGCTTGGTAGTTCACGGGATTGAGACGACAGAGGACATCCTCCGGAAGAAGCGACCTAGGGAAAAGTCCGGACTGCCACAAAGAGGTTACATTGAACCCTAAACCCTAAGTCCAAACTGGGCTCGTTTGTTTGCATTGTCCAAGTGCTTTGGCAAGATCCAAGTTCGATCCCACGGACCTGGCCTGGGACTTCGACAATTCACTTGGGGTTTAGGATTTATGGTTTAGGGTTTGGGAGCACCAGGATCTATCCCCACTGTGGCATGCGATGCCGGTTCTCCTTTCCATGCATGCCAGCAGCTTCTCTAGCTGAATCCGGCTTCAGTCTAACATGCGTGAAGCAGCTGTCGGAGATGTGTCGTAGTCCGTCACATGGAGTACACTCGAACCCGTGGGTTACATGGCCTGCCCAGGAAGTCGCGGGAATGGCGCGCTGCCTTGCGGCTTCTAGCATCAGCGGAGTACCGCAAAGCTGCTCGGCAGAGTTTGTTGGCACCAACTACTTCTTCCCATTCCAAGCTGATCAACATGGCAGGCTGCACAAGAATCCTGGAGGATCAGATCGGGTCTGCAGTTTCCCTACATCTGTGTGTTTTGCGAGAGGCATTTTGCTATCCATTGCCTGCACCGGTCCCGTGTCTAAGGCGGACTTGGACAGCATCGCATGCAACGCTGCCATCAGCGCTTGTGAGAAGAGTGTGGAGTGGAGGTTGGACTTTTGTTTTCTCCTGACAGGGTCCGTGCTTGAATTGAGGATCGGAGTTTCAGATTGTCCATGATGATGAATCGACGGAAGCCTCGGCTTTCAGGCAGGTATCGTCTGAGCTTCAGTGGCATCCGTAGCTGCAAGTTGTCACGTCAACTCTATCACTGAAGGTGGGCTGTGTCTCTCCTTGGGGCCATGCATGTCTCCAGCATCAGACGAGATGAAGTTAGCTTCTTGGCTCTGAGATGTTCTGGGAGCGTGAAGGGGAGCCGTTTTGTTGAGGTCAGTTCTTAGGCTGTGGCCTTGCTGAGAGCATTGGCATTGGCTGTTGAACCTTGTGCTCTCATTCATGGATGACTGTGGAGCGGGTTTTCTTGATGCCGCTGTGTCCTCTTACAGTAACGTTCTGGGTCCCATGTTTGTTTTATTAATCCGCGTGTCCTCATCCAAAGTTGTGTTCGGCACGCATTTACACTGACGTTGGAAGGACTCACAGCTCTGAGCCAGTCATTTAATGCAGGGGCCTAAATAGTTACCAAGACTATTTTTTGGGGTTCCTTATTATAACTATAGTATAATATACCCCCCAAACCCTATTCCAGTGTGAGCGTGGGACCAGTGCAGGCTTTCTGGCATTTGATCTTGCTGGGCGAGTTTCCCACCATGAGCAGTCACATTCACCTTCATCACTGTCATGATTTTCGATTCGATCGTCAGCAGGAAGGCAGTAGCATCGTGAACTCGAATGTGTTCATGTTCATGTTCACGTCAAGCGGCAAGAGTTGTCTAGCACATGTATCCAGAGTGTCGAGCTGCAGTGCATCAGGCTACAATGCAGCCATCAGTGCGTGCAGAGCTTAGATGATGTCAGGCAGTGTGCGTGCTGATAATTAAGCGATGACAACAACGACGACCACCACCACCACCACCACCACCACCACCACCACCGCGATGACGACTACCGCTACTCGTGCCACTCCTGCTGCTGCTGCTGCTCGCCTCCTCCTATGACAACTTCTACGTCTTGTTAGACTTCTTCATACTCTACTACAAGTACGAGTACTTCTCGTAGTTACTGGTTCTAGTACTACTTCTAGTACTACTACTGCTCCTCCTCCTCTTCCTCCTCCT